CACTTTATGTATAATAGAGGATCAAAGGTGGTAAATGGGGATGAAAGGTGGAAAATGGGTATCAAAGGCGAAAAACGGTTATACGAGCAAAAGTTTAGTGCGATTAGCTTCCAGCTTATTTTAAAATTTTTTGTTTTGATACGGACGAGATATTAGCGGAAAATAGATGTCCAAATTTAAAGGTGTAAAACTAATGAAATGTTATCTATTGCAATCGATAAAAGTTATTCTATCTTCCACCTCCAGATCTGTGCCATTCTACTTGTACTTTCCAGAACAAACAGCAATAGCTGATCCAAGCCTTGTATCATATCGCCTCATATCGTCATATTTACTAGTAAGATTATAATCATATTTATATTAAAAACTTCGTTTAACGTGGGCGATTTTCTAAATAATCCAGAATTTTGAAATCTCATATACGCAGATTGGCAATAGGAAACACATTCTTTCTAAGTTCGAAAATACATTTTTCGACGCGTTTCACAGCTTGTTAAATTACAAAAATAACCTTCGTAAGGGTATAGAAATATAACACTCGTGTTGAACCGCCATTAGGGTAGAACTTTAGCATTTGTCTGTCATTTCCTATCAATATTTATGGCATTGCTTTGCTATTATTATTTGGCAATTAATAATATGCATGGGATCAAAAGAAATTAAACTTTTATTTATGACAATGCACGGTGCATGGAAAGCTGAAAAACTTGCGATAACTAAAGGCCAAATACCAAGTGAAATGCATTTTCTTGTCAAATGTCAGAAACAACAGTTCGCTCTAGGGTGGCGCCGATTCCCGGCTACCAGATCCAGATGGGCTGAGCCCTGTGAGTCCCTGAGTACTCGGACTCGTACGCGCGCTTGATACAACAGCAGACCAATAAACAAAAGCATTAAACCCATAAAACAGGGTACATGGCACTCACGAGAATTAACACTACATTATTCACAATGCAATTTCGAAAAAAATGTTTCAACCCGAAACGGATGCGACTCGGCGAATGTGAATGTGAATGTGAATGTAGCTGTGAATGTGAATGTGAATGTGAATACGTGTGCAATGGCTCACATGGGTGCCTTACATTGCCTGCGGCTCTGCGCAGGGGTGGGGTTAGCTGGGAGGGCATCAGTTCTCTGCGGGCCCTGTGTGCGGGTGTGGATGTGGGCGTGGCAGCTGCACCTTTCGCTTGTCGTTGCCTGCCATCGCGCTGAACTTTTATTATTTCTTATTTTTTGCACTTGCTGAAAAAAATGTGAAAAATTAAAAATATTGTACTATATGCGTGCATTTATATATATATACAAAATTCGTTATTCTTCATCTTTTTGTTGTTGTTGTAAATTTTACCGGTGTTGCTTTTATGCATATTTCCCACAACACATTTGGAGTCGAGCAGCAGCGCTTAAATCATCCAAAAGGGGCGTGCGGGCAAGGAAGGCAGGGCGGGGTTGGGCTGGGTTGGACAGCAGCAAGCCTGTTTGTTGTTAGTTTGCCGCTGAAGTTGGGCTTAACCCATCAGCAGCAGCATCATAGCCCAGCCTGAGGTGCATCTGGAGATCCCAACCCAAGCCCCCAACTAAGCCCGTCCCACCTCCCAACTCCCACCGTGTTGATTTATGTTCAGAGTTTGCGTTCATTTATCATTACACTTGAAAGCATTTCCGCTTTGTTCCTTTTATTATGTATACTATATGTTCATGCATAGATGACGGGTAGCGAGGGGCTGTAAAGTACAATAAACAAAATGGGCAATACTTTTAATGCAAGTTATGTTTTATTTCTTGATGATACTCCTTTTATTGCAGGTGCAAAATAGGCTGCTTATCATCTGCATCGTAGCTGCGCTTAAGCCCGAATTGAAACAATGAACGAGAAAAATAATATATTTGCGAATGTCGTAAACTGATGATGCATGTTTTTTTAGATAAGAAACATAATATGCGAAAAATCAGATTGGATTTAAAGTAATTTTTAAAACAATATATTTGAAAAAATACCTTAAATATATTTAAAGAAAATGTCAGTTTTTATTTATTATTTTTGCTTGGACTGTAACCAGTACTTTTACAAATATTTGGATGCTCCGACCCTTATCATAATCATATAAATAATTTTGGGCGAAAAGAAAAAATAAATCAGCCTGCTGTATAAAGAGAGTTTACATATTTGCGTTTAATTAGAAGCCAGAATTGAAAGCTATCTGGTTGGCAATTGCAAAATGCATTATTGCCAAAATGTAATGCGAAAATGTGAATATTTCTAATATTCATAACTAATAAATTGCCTCTGGCATTTTTGATGCAGCTCTTAGTTACATTTGCGCCAGGTGCAAAATTAATATACGTTATCTTTACATAAGTTGTGTGCATGTGACAAATAATTCCCACTGATTTACGGCCATGGCCATGCAGCATGATGCAGCTTCGGGGAATGCTCGGCAGGCTTAGAAGGCACAAATGCCAACTGCAGCTGCAACAAAATGCCCGCAGCCAAGCCCCAGCACAGAACCGGAGCCTGCACCAGAGCCGGAGCCGAAGCCGGAACGTTCATGGCCAAATGCGATTACCGAAAAGATGAAAATTGAATTTATGTGTACGCTCTGAACAAATAAACCTGTGAATTTGAGCGAAAACAAGGCAAACGTTAGTTTTGATTAGTTAATTAAAATGTCAGCTTATATTGCAATATGAACTTAACATTTATTAATTTCGTATAACACATGACAACGACAAGGTCCGTATCAGGTGCTCTTATTTAAATCGAAACTTGACACAGAAATTTAATTACTTAATTGAACGAGCCGAACGGACAGGACGAGCTGCAGGCGCTAAATGGAATTTGACGGGATTTCTGTGAATTTCGTTGAATCATTTCGATTTGCCAGCATTTACATAATAAGAGTCTCTAATCTAAATTAAAATCAACGAGCGGCTACCATTTGCATTAATTAAGCTCATCCGCTTCGTTCCAGAAAGTATTGATTGCGATCATTTCTTTTCACCGGCCAGCAGCTAACTGGACTTTGTTATATCATATCAAAGCTGAAAAAGCACGTAAAAAACAGGAGCTAGTGAGAGCTAGTCGTTGAAACACGACTAGCGTATACCCTGTACCAGGCGCTTTGTGAGTCTCCAATGCCAAGCAACATTTATGAACACATGATCCTAAAACTGACTGAAGAGTCCTCCAAGGCATACATTTTGACACAAATTTCATCGAATGATTTAAAATTGTCCATTAGTGTATTGATAATTAAGCTGAATTAATTCTTTTGTATCGCTTCAATTACTTCTAATGGAATTAGTTAAAGTTGTCGTGAAATGGCTTGAAATATATGGAAAAGATATTTAATCGACGCAATTATAAACTCATATTAAAGTAAAATCTCTCATGGGAGGACAGCGACTGTCGAATAATATGTGTCCGCCTAATAGAGGGACAACGGTTATGGGGTGGACACATTTCATCTTAATAGGCCTTAAAACTTAAAGGACTCTCTAGATCCTTAACAGACCCTAGCCCTGAACTCTTGTCCCAAGTATCCTTAATCAGTTTGAAACTTACCCATCTTCAAGCGTTTTTCTGTTTACAGGGTATCAGGAGAAAATGCTCTCAACAAGTTCATTTTCCATGCGATGTAATGGCTCAGGTAATAAACATAAAAACTAATTTCCCCCCAAAATGCCAAGAATGTTAATCAAAAGATTGTCCTGTTAGATTGCGGCGTAGCAACAACAACAAAATTTCTCTGTGGGATGCATGCCCTGTGTATATGTGTGTGTATGTGTGTGAGTGTGCGTGTGTGTGTGTGTGTGTTGGAGGGGTGTACAAGGTCTGTGGTTTCTATTTTGTGGTAATTTCCGTTTATGTTTTTGAATTTTTTACTCACGGCTGCGCAAACACAACTGAATGCTGATGGCTTCTGTTCGCTACCAGTTTTCCCAGTTTTTCCCAGCTTTTCCCAGCATTTTGCCCCGCATTTCTATCAACCAGCTGCCAGCAAACATGGCAGAATGTTGTCTCTGTTGCATGTTGGCCTTTTTGGCTCGTTGGTGGTGCTCGTATTTGTTTTTGCGGAATTAAAATTTTTGCTGAAATTGACTCTAATTAACGCCCAGACAGCAGGTCATTTGCGCCTCACTTGTCCCTTGTTAGAGGGGCGTGGCAGCAACAACAGCTCTTACGAATTTTCTAAAACTTTAAAGTCAATTCAAACGGGTTACATGTGGCAAGCATAATGTTGCGGTCGGGCTTAGCCGACTATTTTAATACTTTGCTTGTCGGGTATATAGAAGAGAATATATTCCGGATTTCTGATCTCTCAATCTTTAAATAACGTTGGACAAAAAGACGCACTTTGCATAAAATAATATGCTCTTTTCTATTAGTGAAAGGGTATTAACATTTAAACTTAAATACCGATTTAATCAGTTTTGCTGCTTTATCCTGATAACCTTAAGCCAAATTCGAGGCATCCGATACATGATGAGCTCACCCAGTAGCATTTATATATTAACATATACATATGTACATGTACTATACGATAAGTCTATCATCTGGAATATCTAGTTTCTAAGTTACGTTAAGTATAAAGTATAGAGGGTGGTGCGGGGAGAAGGGGAACTATTACAATCATTTGAATAAGAAATTACATTTATGAATCAAAAGAAGTGCGCCTGTTCTTGATTTCGGAGGATTTCGAATTTTTGGAGAACTTGATGCCGAATAAATCCGAATCGATTTCAAACCATTTCCTTTTCTACTCGATGCTAAATGGCAACTGACCACTCTGTTTAATGACATAAAATATATTACTATATAAATACAATATAAAAACGTTATTGCAGCCTCAACTGATAACAGATCGGCATCGGAAAGCAAGCTTTGATTGATAATATTGTACAAAATTAGCTCAATTAAAGAAATAGAAGTAATGCAAAGATTGTAAATGTTTGATGAAATAAAGGTATACAGAAATAAAAAAAAAACAGTCGGAAAGTTTAACCGTTATCGGAATCCAGAACTGATCTGCTTAAGAAATTTTCATTTTATTTATTATGTCTACATAAGAATTCAGAACATCAATATGCAATTTGAGATTCAATTATCGGCCGCATCATCATGACTGCTCGTTTTAATGAGTGTTCCACATCTTTAAAGGTTGCCCAATGTACGCCCTTGTCGTTATCATTATATTTTCCATTTAAGTTGCTGTTTGAATATTAAATTAGAACACCTTAAAATACATAGAACTGTTCATACCTCATATAACAGGAATTGTACCACCAGGCAGCACTGTAAGTCTTCGCACAGTTTTTCAGCTGATCAGAATCATTATCCCGATCAAAAGTCGTAAATTTTTGACCATGATGATATTTGAGTGAATCCCCAGCAGTTCCATTCGCATTCCCAAGCGTGTGTAACGCGAATGATTCCAATTCATCTCCAATCGCAAACCTATTATACTTCTCGTATGATGTTTCCCCGTCCTCGTTCTCTAGTAGAACCAGCTTGTCTTTGAGCGGCAGTTATTGCATGGAGTTTTCCCAAGCCCATAAAGAACTCACCTTCCAGGTCGCCAAAGCCATTTTTGTAGTCATTCCAATTACGATAAAAGTCCTCACTTCCGTCCTGGCGTCGCAATATTATCGTCCAGCCGTCACCGTGATCGTTTGTTTCGCATGCAACCTTGAACGGCTTGAGGCTAAAACCGGGAACTTGTATTTTAAAAATACCGCTAGCTCGACCTGCTGCTTCATAGCAGCTGTGTGCGTGAGGCTCTAAGGAATTTAGATTGCGGTTCCCGATTAGTTCTTGAAGCAACTTTCCCTGACGTTCCACCTCCGCTCTAAAAAGTGACTTCAATCAGTTAAATGTGTATTTGCCTTTTTAAACTCACCTCAACTCGGCTACTAGTGCTTTAGCCTCACTAAACTCTGCAATTTGATTGCAATCAGAATGTGAAAAGAATACATGAAAAATGAATATTGTGCAAAGCTTTTTTAAATACGACATTGTGATCTCCCGAACGTTAAGACTGTGCGAACCGGCGTTTGACTTGCTTTTTTATAGCTAAGCCACAAAGTATATGAGAAATTGTATTCACCATAAATGTACAAAATAATCTAAGGTAGCCAAAGGTCATAGAAATTAATCATGTTGTGATCCATGATTAAACAGCATCATCAGCAAAAACTAGATTATAATTTCTTGGTCTATATGTGCTTAATACGATTTGTTTGCTATACATATATTCAATTTATTTCTTTGAAGTGAATTAAATAATATGATTTCAATCGCTGAATCGTTATTACTTACGATTGTATTTATATATGTATATTATTGATATATATACATATATTGATTCAAAGCTAAAAAGAAATTGCCGGAAATTCAGAGATAAATAATAATCATAGTACAACTTATATTATCATGGTCAATATTAAGTTATAAATTATAAGTAATATTGTATTGGAATCAAAAATAATTTAGTTTTAAACCTTTTGAATTAAGTATGTCTACTTCCCTTTCAAACAAATATGATCTTTTATTAGGGGAAATGTAAAGATTTATAACCGAAATTAAATTTATATATGCCAAGCCAAAAATGTTTTGAAACCTATTGACAGTTCTTAATCAAAACTGAATATTTTTATAACTCAAGAACTACTTAACAAAAAAATAAAACAACAAATATAAAACAACCAGAAAGTCTGTAGAATAATTAATACCCTGGTAGACATTTGCCATACGGTTTTGCAGACATGTGCGAATAGTGAAGCTCTTAAGTACTGAGTTGGATTTAAATATTAATTAAAATATCCTGAAAAACGGAACACTTTTCCATAACTCTTTCGACCGATCGTTCCTATGGCAACTCTATGAATATAAGTCCGTTGTAACAAAAAATTTTTCGTATATGTAATAGTATAGTAATAGTAATAGTATATAATGTATAGTAAAACTTATAAATGCCGAGATAGGTCAAAATATCTGCGAAAAAAAAGTTAATTTTTTTTTTTATTTTCGACCGCTTGTTCCTATGACAAGGGCGGAACGCAAGCATTCGATTGCACAGTCTCTGACCAGCCTCTCTCATTAGATTCTATGATTAACATGAAAACGCCAAGCTGCAGAGCTTGAGCAGTCGGTCATATTGTCAAGATTAGTTGCTGCGAGCAGACGTCAAATGTCGTTGAATTTATTAAAAGCGTGATCTTTAAGATTTGGGAATAATTCGAGAGTGACTACTAATATTAGTAAAATATATATGTATATGTATTAAAAAAGACCTATACGAAATGTTTTGTGGTTTAGAGGTCTCAAGAAGTCTCTGATATTTGGTGTATCTAGCTTTTAAAGTTTTTTAATGATATCGACAAAAAATTAACTCTTGTAGCGAACAGACGTGGCTACATCGACTCAGCTCGTCGCTCTGATCAAGAATATATATGCTTAAAGCTTTATCGCTAAAAATTTTACAGAACCTTTATACCCTTTTTTTCCCCCTTTTCAATGGGTAAGTGCCTAATGTCATGCAACTTCGCTTTGTTTAGAATGCACTCTAAAATGCAAAACTTGTCAAAATCGAGCGTTCCCGTTTTACTTAACTATTGAGGCAGTTTAACACATTATTTATATTCTGTTCGATGTGCTTGTCATATATGCTGCGATAAACATTTTTGAGTATTGACCAAATTCGGCTGGAGAGGCTCGAATGCTTGTAACGGCAGCTGGGCGCAGGGTATCTCGTAGTCGAGCCCTCCCAACTGGAATTCTCTCACTTGTCGTGTTTAATTCTTTATCAGCGTTACGCATGTGACTTTTCGTGGAAAACAATAAAAAGTTGCATTTGCAATTGCAATTAAGTGCGCGCAGCGGCAAGTGCAAGACTTTTGGCCGGTATCGAAAATAAGTTTGCTGCCAACGCGCAAAAGTGAAAACTTTAACATTTTTAGCGACTATGTTTTAACCTGTCCAAAAGTGTCGGCAGAGCGCGGCTGGGCGGAGAGGTGGGTGGGGCGATGGCGAGACAAACTGCCTTGTATTTCATTTTGTGCGTTTAGTGCATTATTGTGTGTGCCCGTGCCCGCGCCCGCGCCCACCTGTCGCCCGCGCCTCGCCAACAGCTGTGCCGGGCTGCCAGGCGAAGTTAGTGTTACCTTGTTTGCCGCCAGAGAAGAAGTTTTCCAAGTTGTCGGCGGGCGCTCGTGTTGCCTAAACAGATTAAACTCTGAACACATGTGCGCCTGCAATTTTACGCGCCGTCGCTGCGCAGGCTTCCGCATCCGCATCCGCTGATGTTGCTGGTGGTGCAGGTGGTGCTGGAGCTGCTGGTAGTGTTGGTTGTGCAGCCGCAGCCGCAGCCACAGCCACTGCCAGGGGCTTCACATAACCGCCACATTAATTCCTAGTGCCAGACACCTTTCTCGTTAGCGGTTGCCCCAACTTATTTAATTTCACAGGCGCCACGACCAGCAGCTCCTCCGGCTTTAAGTTTGCTGCGGACCGCCTTTGGGTCCGATTCCAACCAGAAAATTAAATCTCATTCGCGTGTTTATTCAAATTCAAATTGTTGGCATTTTGTTGCTTTATTTAATTATCGAATATGTTGCTGCAACAGTTGCCCAGTTTTCACTTCTCAGTGCTCGGGCGACATTTGCTCAAACTTCTCACGTTTCACCTGACCCGGACGGCCATGGGGCCATGAGCATGAGCGGGCTTTTGGACACATTTTTCTCTTTTTTTTTTAATTTTTCTTTTTTTCTAATATAATTTATGTCCTGTGGGGGATTTGCACGCAGCCTTAGTTAAGGCTAACGAATGCGCATACGTGCGATCACGTAAACTTAGATAAAGTACGAACTATGCTGTATGAATGTTATCGAGATATCTTTCGAGTGTTTGCTCGAGCTTAAATCGGAAATGAATTATTTAAAAAAGATAGTTGATGCCAACTTTTCGCCTTCGCTGTAAAAGTTAGGAGGAATTTGTTAAAATTTTATTGTTAAAAAGTTAGGAAACTTAATTGGTGAATCGAATACTCAAGGTAAGGCAAAGAGCGAATTCCATAGGAAAATTTGATTGGCTTTTGAAGGAAATAGGAATTTATATAAAAAAATGATAACAATTCGATCCAATAATAGACAAAATATCTTGAATCATTAAATTCTTTGCGCATGCAGATGAACCATGTGGTTTTCCGAGTAGCCTTATGTTTTGATTCCTTGTATTTCCTAGAGTTTTCCTGTGTAATGTCCACTTTCTTAATAAATAATATTCCTACCTCAAAACTTCATAATTGTCCAGAGGAAAAGTGTGTCTGGAAAATTCGCCCAACTTTGGCTAGTCCTCTATGTTCTCACTTTTTCTTATTCCTTTTTTTGAAATACTTAAGTAATATTTATAGTTTCTTATAAGAACGAAAAGCAGGAAAAGTCCGGTATGATAGCAGCTCGAAATAATACACAACCCTGTGCAATGAATACTCTTATAGTCAGTTCTTATTCATACATAGTATCAAAATATAAAGCCTTGTCAAATGTATTATCTTGTAATCTGATCTTATTGATGATATTGTGCGTAAATTCCAAAAGTTCGCAGATAAAAAGCAGCATCCATGCCAAGATTCAAGCTTCAAACGAGGAGATATATTTGTGCTTATCGTGGAAAAACAAATTGAACATATTGACGTATCTGATACTGATCAAGCATATTATATTATACATATTTCCTTTATTGCGAAACCAAATGTGAATGCCCCTGAACATAAAAAAAAAATAATAAATTATTTTATAAAAATGTTAATTTTGCAAAAAGGAAACATACTCGCATAAATATAGTTGTATAAGTTTTACATTTATCAAATTCGATATATTCGGATATTTTTCCTTTTAAACATCCAAAAATATATTTTAATTAATTAGTACGAAATTGAAATCGAATCCGGAATATGAATAATTTAAATGTAATGCAATTTTCAAGCCAACTGCATGAACACAAATACTTAAACAAGAATAATCCGAAATTCCGGCATCGAAGACGAGCGGCGACTTTTGGCTGAAATGCCTTCGGCATAATTAAACTCTGTGGAATTTCATTACAAAATTCGCAGACATTTCGCAAGATGCGAACGATTTGCCGCATGCTGATGCTCTTGGATGGTAGCTAAAGTTTCGAGCAGCGACCTTTTCTTGGGGGCATTTCATGAATGTAGTGCAACATTTTTGGCTTAAGTTGAATTTACACTGAAATCGGCTCGTTAAGCGGTAATATTCCTTATGAAACTCAATTTGCCCATACCCCCACAGAGCCGGCCACCGGCCCATTACATATAAATATGTGTGTGTGTGTGTGTGTGTGTGCCCTTTGACCGAGTTGATTTTTCACAATTTCCGGCCAAGCGAGAGCTGCGCTGCCGACTGGGCGGAAACGTAATTTGGCTCTTGGCCATTATTTTCGGCACTGACCGCAAAGCCAAAGTCCGCTGCAGCTGCCGCTCCACGAGTGGACAGGGGATGGCTAAGGGGCTGTGGAAAGCGGAAAACGCCGGCGAGGCGCCTCATCATAATCGAAGCCACGAAATTGAAGTACTGCGGCACACAATGCGGTTTCCGTTGACTGCTGATTGGCTTCCGTTTCCGCTAATTTTTGAAAGTCGGCCCACATTGTTTTTGCAGTCATCAGTTGCTGTTGCTTCTGATTGTCCTTTGCAGACAGGCAGCAAAAGGCTCCAGCTGAGTTGATTACACTTTCCATTCATTTGCCCAATAAAGCAGCTACTTTTAAAAGCAGCCAAGTCCAAAGCTCGAAATGCTGTCAAAAGTAATCTTGTAAGCTAGCGCAACAATAGGAACTTGCCCGTTTTCCGAAGCAACGAATAATCGTACATTTTGAAAGCAGTACGATTCTGGCAAAGCTTAAGATTCGAATGTGCTTTTGTGTAATTTAAATTAAAATCAGTCAAGAGTTGGCTTTAATAAAAAAAAACAGCTTATGGTCCGAGAAACAGAAATTTGTGCATTGTGGTGCTCCCATTAGATTAATTAAAGAAATACAA